AAAGAAAGAAAGAAAGAAAGAAAGAAAGAAAGAAAGAAAGAAAGAAAGAAAGAAAGAAAGAAAGAAAGAAAGAAAGAAAGAAAGAAAATAAAAGACAAGGATCCAATCATAAACCAATCCAAGCACACTTCACAAGAAATGTGGCCGGCGGAGCTGCTGCGTGGGGAGCCAAACCCAGGGCAGACTCAAAAGAAGTCAGGAGGCACCAAGCTCTGGGGAACACACCCCCATGAGTAGGGCTGCTGCCACAGGGCCTTATTTGGTTTTTTGAGGTGCCCTTGAGAGTTCTGGGGTTGTTTTGATTTTTTTTTTTTCTTTTAAATAAGGAAAAAGGAAAAAAAGAAAATAAAAGGGGAAGAACCCAGCTCTTTCGGTCTGAGGCTGCAGGACTCTTACCCCACCTCCATCCTTTCTGCCTGGTCTGGCCCCTCCTTCCCACCAAGCTGCCTGGCTCTGGCACACTGAGGAAGAGGAGCCTCAGCTCACCCCAGTCAGGGAGCCCCTGCCTGAGGCAAAGGCTCTCAGAACAGCTCCTGGTGCACACCCCCTTGGGATAACCCCAGAGAAAGCTGGCAGCTCCTCATACCATTCTAGGGATGGGCAGATGGCTCCAGGTTTGGTGGCACATCCAGGTTTGGGGCAGCTGGTGGGCTTCTCCAGGCCAAGGCTGATGGAGCCCAAGGGGGTCTCCAGCCAACAAGTATGAGAAATCAAAGTTTCTTGTCCTTGGCTCCAGCTAAAGAGGAGCTGGAGCCTAAATCCAGCTCCCCACAACCTTCCTGGACATCTCCTATGCCAAGCTGGCAGGTGTGGCCCCAAGCCAAGCACTGGCTAGATCTGGGAATAGCAAACACTGCTTTTGGCACTCTGTTCTGCACCTGGCTCTCCACTCTCTCCCCTCAGCTTCATCCCCCAAAACCACCTGGGGACATCCAAGCCTCCAAGTTCAGGGGGGCTCACACTGACCAACGCAGCTGGGATAGCCAAGCCAGTGCCAGAGGCACACAGGGTTTTGAAGTGCCTGTGTGCCCCCAGTCAGTGGCACCTTAGGGACATCCCAAGCCGGGTGGGAGGTGATCCTTCCTGGCACAGAAATGCCCAGGACCAAAGCCCCCCAGCTGGCTCCCCTGCTTCCTTTGGTGTTGGAGACACAGCAGAGCTCCCTTTCTCAGGGGCTCTCCCATCAAGGTGCCCACACGAAGGCAGGCACCATCCCTGCCATCCCTATGCTTCTCACAGCCCTACCTCAGCGGGAGCCTCATCACCCTGCCGGGCGCCCGGGCTTGGTGGCAATCCCAGGCCGCCACCCCCTGCACCTCCGGGATGCCCCGGAGCTGGGAGCCGTGTCCAAAAGCAGTTCCCTCATGCGAAAGAGCTAGGTCCTTCCCGGCATGCTCTCCTAAAACCTCACCAACCTTCCTACTAAACTGAACAGGGGGAAGCGGTCGTAAAATGGATCCCGGCCATCACACAGCGGGCACTCCGGAAAGATGTCTTCCTCCAGGTCCTCCTCCTCCTCCTCCTCCTCCTCCTCCTGCCCCTGGTGCTGCTCGTCAGCAGGCTCGGTGATGTCGGAGTCGGGGTTCGAGAAGGTAGGGGAGGGGGTGAGATCAGCCATGCGCTCGCTCATGCATGTGTTGAAAAGAGGAGAGCTGTTGCAGCCAGAGATATCTGAACTAAGGTTAGTACAACAAGATAGAAGACATGTTAACACCAGCTGTTCCAAACAGAAAGAACAGGAATTTTGCTTTTTTTTTTTTGTTTGTTTGTTTGTTTTTTCTTGGTTAGGTTTTGGGGTGGGTTTTTAGTCTGCTCAAATCAAGGGACATCAGGAACAAAGACCTGCCCATCTGGTGCATCTCTAAAGCCACCAACAGCCAGACAAAAGAGCAACCCATGGAACCAGTGTGAATGTTGGGGACTCCTTCTGCTGGCTTTGCAGGGAACGCAGGGACAGAGCAGGTGGCGCAAATACCCCTGCTGCTGGAGAGAATCCCTGCTCGTGCTACAGCACAGGGGAATGCCTCCAGGTCACACAGCTCAGCCCCCTGCTCCCCCTGCCCCAGCCTTCCTTCTCCAGGGTGGCCCATCTTCACGGCTGGCGCTGCACCCTTCCATCGGGCGTGCAGGAAGCGCACGGACACACGCGGCACACACCGCACAGACAGACACTCGGACACCGGCACGTGCACAGGGACACATGGAGCTCACACCGGCACAGCTCCCTGCCTGCTGGACAGCCACACCCCCCGAGCCTGGAGCCCGTGGCTCTCAGCACTGGGTTATGGCAGGCAGCAGGAGCATTGCCAGCAGCTCGTGGGTCCCTCGGGGCGCTGGCAGCCAAGACAGAGGAGAGCCGTCACCCTGGAGTCCCACAGCAGGGTGAGTGCCCGTGGTGGGCAGCACTGACAGCATCTCCTCCTGCAGGGCTACCTGTGGGTCTCAGCCACGCTTCGAAGGAGCCAAAGCGCTCACCTGCCCACCAGCCTGAACCAGGGAAAGCGGTCGTAGAAAGGGTCTCCGCCAGTCACCACATTGTCACAGTCCTCAATGACGCTGGAAGGCACTTCTGCTGCTCGGTCATACATCTCACGCATCAGGTCCAGGCGCTGCCTGCAGGGCGAGGGGATGCCCATGGTGGCAGTGAGGCACAGGGCTGTGGGCACCCTAACCCCCCCAGCACAGCCGCCTCTCACCCACCTCAGCTTCTCCAGGGTCCAGTAATGTGTTGCCCCGTTCTTCTGGTCCTGCACCTCCACAGCCACAATGGTGCGGGGGAACGGCCGCTTCTCCCGGTCCTTGGCAGCATCGGGGGGCAGCAGGTCGGGAGGGAGAGGTGAGTACAGCGTGTCTGTCAGGAGCACAAACTGGAACTGGACCTGGAGAGGAGCAGAGGGGCTGGTGAGACACCTGGGAGGGCAGAAGGCTCCATGTGCTGCCTCTGGCGACCTCTCCTCAGCATTTCCTGGCTGGCTGTTCTCTGCTGTGGGTGCTGCAGCAAGCCAGAAAGGAGCCCAGCCACCCACCTTCTTTTTCAGCTCCACGCTGATGGCATTGGCTTCCTTGAGGAAGATAGCGTTGCCCCAGAGCAGGTCACGGAGGGAGGTGAACTGGTACCACTTCCACTTCCTGAAGGCCCAGAGGGCGAGCTCAAATTCCCGCTCTGTCCACTGCACTGTGGGGACAAGGAGGGACAGTCACTCACAGCTAGCAGGACATTGACCCACAGTTCGCTCTTTGTGCTCCCACTGAGAGCATCAGAACCTCGTGGTGGCTCCCAGCCCTCACCTTCATCCTCAGGTTCTTCCTCCTCCTCATTTGCCTCAGGATAATACCTAGAATCCATCTGCTTCTGCAGAGCCTCCAGTTTGCTCTCATAGTCCTGGGGGAAACAGGAAGAGGGGTGATGAAGCCCACTGGTGTGACCTTCCTCCTGCAGGAACACAGCCTCCTCCCTCCGCTGGATCAGTGATGACAACTCCAGGAACAACAGATTTGCCCTTGTTTTAGGAACACAGATCCACCCCACACAAACATCTGCCAGGATTTCACACCAACAGCTGCCTGGGCAGCCTGAGAAGGAGCCATGTCCCAGCCACCTACCAGCCTCTGCTGCTCCAGGAGGTAATTTGCCTCTTCCCTCTCCCTCCGGTACTGGTCCTCCAGCTCCTGGAGCCTAGGTGGAAACGGGCAAGGAGACGATGACCAACCTGGGAGTGAACGCCCAACTCCCCAGCAGCTCAGGCCATGCCCTCACCGCTGCTCCATCTCCTGTTTCATGTCGATGCCTTGCTTCTCCAGCAGCTCTCTCTGGGCAAAGGCCCAGTCCACAGGCTCTGCGGGGGTCTCGGCACACGGCGTCCGCTCCCGCTCCTGCCGAGCCTGCTCGGGGTGGTTGAAGCGGAACACGTGGCTCTTGCCCATGATGATGCGGTTCCCTGCAGTGCGTGGTGGGGGAAAGGCGTGGGTTTAACGTGGGACAAGTGCAGGGCCCCCATGGGAGGGAGGGATGGAGGGGGGTTGGAGCAGCTCTGGCGTGCCAGCCCCACCAGGGACCCACCTGAGCGCAGGATGCTGGGCTCTGTCACCTTTTTGCCGTTCACATAGGTGTCAGCACCTTCACAGGGCTCCAGGGTCACTATCACTGTGGAGATGGTGGGAAGGGGAGAGGGGAGTGAAGTTAAGGGGGAAGCAGAAGGATAAATCCTGCATGTCCTGCTCCAGCAGCCTCAGGAAGGGAGAACCAGCCCAGCCAGCACCCACACTGCGGGCAGCTAACAGGACTCAGCCAACCTGATGTTAATCAGAGCAGTCCCAAGGAATAAGGACAGCTGGAGACCGCATGTGAGAGGAGACCAGAGCCTCCAGAAGGCAAATCCACCCTGCCCAGGCTCATCTCCCACAGCCCCTTCACACCCAGCTTCCTGCCATTTTTTGGGCGTGGATTCTGCTCCACATCTTGAGTGGGGGAGTAACCTACAGTCTGCTCAGCCATCCTGATCTCACCTTACTTTCTCCTCACATGCCCCGTGCGAGCTCCCCTCCCAGCCACGAGGGATGTAGCTCATCTGGAAGCATGGAGAGGCCACAGCCATGCAGTAAAGCCCAACTAGCTTGAGGAAGGCAGGACATTCAGCTGGGGGCAGGGGCTGAGGACATGCAGAGGGATGGGTGCCCAGGGCAGTGAAGCCCCTCCAGACAAGCAGTACCTTCACCACCAGTTTTGGTGTCGCTGCGGAACAGGCAGTGCTCTTCTTTAATGAAGTGCCCGCTCAGAACGATGTCCTGCCTCTTCTCAGCATCTTCCCGGCCAACCCTGCAGGGGAAATCCAGCTCAACCCTCCCTCAAAGCAGCCCCTCCTGAGTCTCTCCCCATCCCCGTCCTTGGAGCTGACAGGAGCAACCCTTGGTGCACTGCAAGACCAAAATCTTGGGGATTTGCACTTTGGGGATGCCCTGGGAACAGTTCCCATCCTGGGAACAGCTGTCACCCCACTGCCCACCTGGGAAAGTCAGGTGGAGACATGGACAATGCTCCCAGAGCTCCATAGGACCTGGCCCTCACCTTGTTATCCCATCCTTGATGTAGTAGAGAAGACACTCGGACATGAGCGGGTCCTCATTCAGGTTGACCAAGTGCGGTGTCTGGAGAGACAAACAAGGAGTCACCCCTGTGTGCCCTGCCTGCCCGGGCACTGAGGGGTGCTCTGGAGGAAGGTGGGAGCTCAGCAGCACTGCAGGCTGCCTCTGCACAGACTCTCCTGCCCTCTCCATCTCCAGGGTGACACATCCAGACAGTTACTTTGCCAGGGGACTGCAGAGAACTGAGAGGCTGGCAGGAGGATGCCCTGCTTCCACAAGCTTCCTTGCTTTCCTCCTCACAGGGCTGAGTCCTAGCTACCCTTCCTCTGGCCACCTTTGAAAATTCATATTCCAAACAGGACCAACACAAAGCCAAAGCCTTCCCATGGGGGGTCCCTGATATGGCTCAGAGTCTCTTGGGGCAGGACTCTTCTCACCTCATGGAATGGTTTGGGTTGGAAGGGACATAAAAACACATCTTTTTTCACCCCCCTGCCATGGATAGGGGCATCTTCCATTAGACCAAGTTGTTCCAAACCCCATCTAACCTGGCCTGGAACAATTCTAGGAATGGGGCAGCCACAGCTTCTCTGGGCAACCTGTGACAGGGCCTAACCACACTCACAGGGAAGAATTTCTTCCCAATACCTAATCTAACCCTGCCCTCTGCCAGGTCAAAAAGGAAGTAAAAGTGCCTGTTTTCCTCCACTAATTGTACACCAGATGATGCATCCAAAAAGAGCAGGTCCCAGAGGTTCATCCAAAAGCAGTGCAGACCTGAAGCCCTATCTGCAGGCTGAACTTCCCTTTCTGGTCTTTTTCCTAACACAACTCCTTCTTCTTCTGCATCACAAACCACTTTGTTCTCGATAAGAGGAAAATTTCTCCCCCAGCCACAGGCTTCTCTGGCCACAGCCAGCTTAGCTGCAGGGATTACACCTTCAGGGAATGGGGGCAGTCCCAGGAGTATCAGTGGGAGAAGTTCTGAGTTTACCAGACAGAACAGTGGCTGTAAGGAACACCTTATCAGCCTGCTGAGACCCAGCATGCAGAGGGGGGCCCTCACCATGGTGCCACAAGCCTTGGCTGACAGCAGAGACTCACTGCAAACAGGGCAGCAGAGCTGAGGTCGAGGGAAAGGTGGGCTCTTCTCCATGGTGGCTGGCAGAAGTTGGCTGTAACATTTAACCTCTGGCCCCACTGGACAGACATACAGCCCTGGGGGCTGAGACCTCCTTCACTTGCAGATTTTGTCCAGATTTGTAAAGCTGGTGGTGACCTTCCACTGAGCTCCTGGAGCTGTAACCACCCCAGCCATGGCACACAGAAGGACAGCAAAGTGCACTGCCCATAACAAAATGGAGTTTGCACACTATCAACACTAACTTTCCTCACCAGCCACTGGAGAAGTCAGAAGAGTTTCCACCTGCCAGATAGATGAAGAGCAAGGAGGCACCAAGACCACCACAGCAATGCCCCACCTCCAAGACCAACCTGCTTTGGGGAATAAACCCCCACGCTTCCTACCCAAAGGTCTGGAGTCCTAACAGGCAGCAGCTGGGACAAGAAACAAAGACAACAGTGTACCAGTTTATCCTAAAAGTCAGCTGGGTCACATAAGGGGAAGGCTGGGAAGTCTTCATCACCCCCTGAGCTGGGGACACACACACTTAGGTTTGGCCAAGCCAAATGCTGCAAGCAATAAAGAGATGGAATATTTGCCCACCCACATTTCTTAGCAAGGATTTGCTGGTTTCAGGGGCAGCAATTTTAAATATCTGAAAGTATGAATTTTTACAAGTTAACACTGAAGTCCAAGAGAGTGATCATCAGCAAATACCCTCATGAAAGGGTACAGCACACCAGCAGTGGGGGGTGGACATTTACCCATGTATTTCTACCCTTGTTTGTACCCAGCAGGCTCAATGCTGGGATTTCCCCCATAGGTTTCAGAGCCAAGAAAAGGCTAGTGAAGTATATGGAACTGGCCAGCTATGACAGGGTGGATCAGAAGGGAGCTGCAGGGGTACAAACCAGTCCCCAGGAAGAAGAGAATAAGATGATCCTACCTTTTTAGGAGAAAAAACACCCAAGGTGCCTCCATCCTCCCTCATGGCCACTCCCATTTCGGCCAGCAACGCTTCCCTGAAGGAGCAAGAGAAAGAAGTGCCTGTCAAAACCCCATGCACCCCTAAAGCCAGCACTAGGATGGAAGCCCGTGGTTTGTCCCATGGATTGCAATGCAGGGAGGTCTTGTCACAATTCAGGTGGGTTTTTCAGAGCAGCCCACCCCTGTGCAGGCTGACATGGGGGGTACTGGGGTCCCCAGGGGGCAACCCAGGGTCTGGCTGGACATTCAAACTGTTTGGCTCAGGAACTCAACTGCTCTAACAAAGTGCAGAGGATGGGAAATGCCCAAGGAACACCACTTCCACCCCATGCTGTCCCACTCCAGCCCAGCCCACCCACCTCTCCATCCGGATGGCTTCTGTCCTCCGCAGCTTCTCCTCCCACGTCTCATTCAGCTCTGCAATGATCTTCTCTGTTTCCTGGCAGGGGAGGGTTAAACAGGGGTTAGGGTCTGCTGTGGGCAGCACACCTGGCCACTCTGCCCAGTTCTGCCCAGCATGCTTCAGTGGGACACCGGTCCCAGTTCCAGGCTTGTTATACAAGCTGCAGCAGCATTTCACCCACATCTTTCCATCAGTCCCATCTTCAAAGAGTGAGGCACAAAGACCAGCCTCTCCACTCCCTTGCTGCCAGAACCATGCTGGACCAGGAGCCCTGCTCCCATGGCAGAACTGCCCATCCTAAGACTGAAGCCTGTCCCACAGGTCCATGGCAGCCATCCCCTGCAAGGCAGCACCAAGAAGACCCTACAATAACCAAACCCTCTGGGCAAGCTCTAGGTCTGTCCACTCTGCAAGAGCACATGTGACTATTGCTTCCCATGAGGATCACCCTGCATGGGTTTCCAGAAAACACTGAGCCCCCTCTGCAAGCTGCAGTGCATTGAGGGGGAGGGAAAAGGGAAAAGGGAATAGGGGAAAGGGGAAAGGGGAAAGGGGAAAAGGGAAAGGGAGAGGGAGTGGGAGAGGGAACCAGGGCACCAGGCTCTCACCTTGAGCCTTTCAATTGCCTCCTCGCTGCCCGGAGCAAACATGATGCGCTCGTGGAGGCTGGCGACCGAGGCAGCGCGGCTGGACAAGGCAGAGAGGGAGGAAGAGGGGCTGATCCCAGCGATGGCATTGGTCACTGTGGAGAGATTGTCATGGCGGTGACTCAGCTCTGTCCCTCTAGCATCATTATTGTTCTCAAAGTCGGACACATCTACGGGCGCGGAAGGAGGGATGGGCCGGGGAGAGACACACAGACAGGGTGACAGAGAAAGACAGAGACAAGAAAAGCTGTTGGGAAAAAAAAAAGAGTGGCCGGTGCGTCGAGAAAAAAGCCAAGAATTACAGGAAAAGGCACAGGCAACAGCACAGCAGCACAGACAGAGACAGGGCAAGGGCAGGCACTCTCTTCCCCAGCCCGGGCAGCCCCTCAGGGAACAGGGCTGTTTGGTGAAGCAGATGCTGGAAGCAGCTGTCCTGGGCTCCCAGGGACACTTTTTTGCAACCTCAGGTCCTGCACCCATCGGGTCTGGGAACAAATGTCCTCCCCAAGTATGTGCCACTGCCTCTATCCTCTCCATCTCATACAGCCTGGGTGGTTTTCCCTGTCCAGATGCCCTAGATTAGCCAGATCGGGGAGCAGAGAATGAGAAGGGAAGGGGATGAGAGGGGGTGGCCCTCTGCCCTACAAAGGGGTCAGGAGAAGCAGCTGGATTCCCTCACAGGGTCTGCTCAAAGGAAGCCCATGACCTGCTGGAGCAGCACCTTGGCCAGGCAGCCAGAGAATGAAGCCAGGACTACAGGCAGTGGTGCTTGCCAGCTGGCACCCCAGGAGTCAGCTGTGGTGGCTTAGGAGCCAGGTATGGGAGATGCTCCTCCAGCCCTGAGGAGTTAGTGGTTCTCAGAGCAGTGTGCCAGAGGCAGGCAGGGCACAGGCCAGCAGGTGCAGTATTAGTCACTCATCTCCATTAGCCCACACCCAGGGAAGCTGAGCCAGGAGAGGACAACCAGGCCCCTGTCTCCTCAGCAGACTTGCCATAGCCTGGCTGCACTGCCTGACCCAGGGTGGGTCCATAGTGCTTTTCCATGGGCCAAAGCCTTCTGGCCACCACTTCATCAGCAGAGCACCATTCCATCCCACCCAAGGGCCGTGCCAGGCTCCAGTCCCAGTGAGACACCAGCAGAAGCAGCAGCAGCAGCAGCAGCAGCAGCAGCAACAGGAAACATCACAACAGCATGAAGGAGGAGGTCCCCGTGTGGACTGGGCCCTTGGCATGGCCAAGTGGGAGGACACTGGTCCCTTCAGCACTAGCCCAAGCTCAGGTGCTAACCACGACTGTGGCACCATCCCCTGTGCCAGCTCCCTGAGGATGGGCAGCCTGCAGGCACACACTGCTCCATCAGCAGAGGCTGGCTGCAGGAGCCCTCCCCATGCTGCACAGGTGCCCCTGGGCACAGCCTAGATCTCCAAAAAGCCTTGAAGCAACAGAGAGTACCAGTGATGGGGAATACACACATTTGGATCCTCCTGCAGCAGGATGGGCTAAGAAAGAAAGAGAGGGCAGGGAGCAGGGGTAAGACAGAGAGAACAGAACAAGAGAGGGTTCATCTCAGTAGGGTATCAGACAGCACAGGGAGGGGAGCCCATGGGCATGTGCAGTCCCAGTAACGCCTTCCTGGCACCTCTGCTGGGTGCTGGATGCTGGAGATGGTGGGTGGAAGGGAAGAAGGGAAGGTTTGCTGGGCAGAAAGCAGCTCCCCCTGCGACAGGAAGGGCTTGGGGCTGTGAACATGCGTGCAGGGGCTCACCAGAGGCAGCATGGTGCTGCCCTGGGGCCAGTGCAGCGGGGTGCAGGGAGGCTGTGGGGACCTCAGCCCAATGCTGCCTGGAGCCACTCAGAGAGCACCCATGGTACCTACTGTCAATGATGTCCCCAAGGCCCTGGGCATAGAGAAGGTCACGCAGACGTGCCACCTCATCCTTCAGCTCCCGGATGAGCTTGTTGTTGGGATCCTCGTTGATGACAGCATTGCAGCGGATCTGCTTGGCACGGTCAGCGTACCTAGGGAAGGGCAGGGTCAACACACTGAGAACAGGGGCAAAACCCCAGCTGCTGGGCAAGCAAGAGTGCTGCAGAGCCCCTCCAGCAAGTGATCCTTTGGAGGATCCCAGTGCCAGGACAGTCCTTTGGTCTTTTGTCTGGGATTGCAGGTTCCCTCCACAGTACACCCCCAGCCAGGGACACCACAGAGGTGAGGAGAACATGTCAGCCTCAGACAGCCTCCCCTGCTGTTGCCCACTGCAGGGAGAACAAGGGCACTTCTTCCTACCTGAGGGTGCTGAGGGTCTCATCGTAGTTGATGTCAGCAGGACTGAGAGCAGCGACCATGGCAGTTCTGGAGTTGCCTCCTGCCCAGTAAGAGACACCCATGAGAAAGACGCTGGTCCCTGTGTCCCCGTCACACCCAGCTTGGCAGCCACACCCATCACCAGACCACACCCCCCACCTGTCCTCACCCAGGTTCTCCCGCAGCAGCCAGGTCAGCACCGAGTCTCGGTACGGGATGAAATCCGTCTTTTTCTTCTTTTTGTTCTGGGGAATGGAGAATAAAGGAAAGGGCTGTCAGGCTGCCTGCTCTCCTCAAAGGAAAGGTGACAGCCATGGGGACTTGGAGCAGGATGGCTCTTCCCAGCCACTGCAATCTTGAACATCTTTGCCTAGGTCCACAGGTCCTGCCTGTGAAATACTCTGAGCTGGGAGGGTTGTTTAAGGCTGGCTACTGAAAGCCCCAGAGGCTGAAGATTCTGCCAAACCATCTCACTCCCAAACCATCCTGCAACCCACTCCCACCCACTCCCACTGTGCTCAAAACCAACACCCCATTCCCCATCTGCCCTGGGCACCCACCTTGTTCGGCCCCGAATCCTGCAAAGGAAATGGAGAGACTGTTTAAGGGAGCTGCTTTGTTCCTTGGCACCCACCACAGATCCCCGGCCCAAGAGTGGCACAAGTCCCCATGCAGATGGCATCTTCACCAGCCCAGCTTGTCCCAGCCTCAGAGAAAGCTTGGGATGTGTCTGCCCACCCATCAGAGCTGGGATGCTCCATCCATCAAAGCTCAGCTCACCCCTGCTGGCCTCAGCCCATTTTCCCCCCCGACACTGTTTGTCTGTTCTCCAGCTACTTACCATTTCAGCCAGGGCAGAGATGACTTTTCCCAGAGTGGTCAAGGACTTGTTGATATTTGCTCCTTCCTGGTTAGAAGAGGAAAAGCCCAGATGCTCAGGCCCCATTTCAGAGCCACATTAAAGCCCAAGAGAAAATTAGGAATATCCAGTATGGTATGGGCAAAGAGCAGCTGGTCTTACTGGGTAACCAGCACCTCCCAGATGGGACTCATGGACCCCAGTGAAACTGGCACTTGGCAGCTTTCAAACACAATCCTATCAGGGATTTTGGCAGTGAAGTGGGCAAAGAACCAGGCAAAGAAAGGAGATGTTTTGGCTGGAGATGAGGGAGGAGGACGTGGTGTCCCCACCAGAAGAAGGGGACCTCAGGTCAGCTCTCACCTTTAGTCTTGTGCCCTTGGCTCCTGTGGAATCAGCTCGCTCGCTCCCAGCCAGGTCCACCAAGCTGATTTTGCTGACCTGCAGGCAGAGGGGAGGCTGTCAGCCCTGTGGGCACAGCAAACCTTGCCCAGCACAAACCTCTTGCAGGATGACACTGCTCTGAGGGCTAATACCCTTGCAGGAAGGGCTGAAGGGCACCAGCTGCCAAATATCCTGTCCAGGGGCTGGTCCCTCAAAATGTGCCTGGGATTTATCTCCCTCCTACTCCAATCCCCCACCAGGCTGCGCCACCTTGTCCCAAGTACTGATGAAAGAACACAAAAGTCCTTTCTGGATCCATGTGGGTTCCCCTGAGTCCTCCAGGGCCTGCTCTTACCTTCTCAGTGGTGATGTCTGTCTCGGCGTCGTGCCGCTTCTGCGTGAAGATGATGTTGAACACGGCGTGGGAGCGGCTGCTGGTCTCATTCATGTTGGTAGCAGCCACTGTGCTGCAGGGAGAGTAGGACAGGCAGGTGTGACACTCTGTGAGGGGACACTGCAGTGGCTGGTGATGGGGCCAGGGCTCATGCTAGGACAGGGTATATGGTGGGAAGGCAAGACTGGAGGACAAGAGAGGACTCTGGGAGAAGATGTGCACAAGTTCAGGCTTTTTCCTGCTGTCTTCAGTGCACTTGGAATGTAGGAGGAAGGTAAGATGAAAGCAAGTGGGAGTAACCAACACTGAGTGAGGAGGGGACTGCCACTTCCAGAGCAGCTGGACTGACAAAGTCAGGAAGTGAAGCAGGACCTCCTAGAAGTGACTGCAAGCTTCCCAAACCCTGCCCATCTCCTTCTCCAACTCACCGGGCTTTGTTTCCAGAGTCCATAAGGTCCTGAATGTCATTGTAGGAGGTCACAGCCAGCTTGGAAAGGTCCTCAACATATGGACCCATGAGGGGATGCTCCCTCACCCGCAGGTTCCCCTTGTTCTTGGGGTTCAGCAGGTCCCTCACGCGTTCGCAGTAGATCTCCATGTAGCTCACCTAGAGCAGAGGGCATGGGCAGAGCTAGCAGAATGAGCCACCCAAAGAGGGGTCTGCACGCTGGCACAAGCTCTGGAGCCAGGTGGGAGGCCAGAAGGGGGCTGGGCAGGCAGTGGGGTGCCTACCTCCACAGAGTAGGACATGTTGTCATTCGTCGTGTCATTGATGCGGGAGAAGAGATCCTCGCAGAGCTGGGGACAGAAGAGCGAGGCTCAGCCCCCCACCAGCAGGATGCTCCTGCCTGGGCTGCCCAGGATACTACCAGGATAAAGGGATTTCTACCTTTTCACCCCAAAAAACAGACAGTGAGTGCTGGAATGGCTCCTGGGGAGCTGGCAGAGCCTCCCCATGCTGACATGAAGAATCAGCATTGCTGTGTCCTGCTGGGCCAGCATGTGGCAGCTCTTGGCAAGCAGCTCAGCACTTGGACCACTGCTGCTCACGTACACTGGCCTTGTGTGGCCAGACCTTCTTGGTCCACACCAGTCTTTGGGAGTCTGGATGACCCTCCTTGAGCCCCTCCTGGTGGAGCCATGGCAGCTCACTGTCACGGTTGTGCTAAATCAGACCTTGGCAAAACCTGGCCTCGCTCCCACCCTGCTGCCCTCTTTCCTCCCAGCTCTGCTTTTCCTTTGGGCATCCCTTTGGGATGAGGGGCTCAGGTAGATTTTCCCAGGCATACCTGTGGGATGATGCCTTGCTGGTCCTTCTCCTGTTTGCCCATCATGGTGTAGGATTTTCCAGCTCCTGTCTGCCCATAGGCGAAGATGCACACGTTGTAGCCTTCAAAGGCATGCTGCAGCATCTCCTCACCAATGTCCCGGTACACTTGCTTCTGGGATGCATAGTTGATGTCTGCAGGCTGCACAGAGGAGGGGGACATGGAGAAATTTGGCAAGGAGGCCCTCCTGCCTCTCCCCAGCCCAGCCTTCGAGGCGGGCTCAGGCCTCCCAGTGCTTACCGTAGTGTGGGACCAGTAGGAATAGTCAAAGCTGAAGCTTTTGGGTGTCTCTTTGGGCTGTTTTGGGTTCAGGATAGCTAGGGACAAACAGATGGGAGGAACATGAGGCCACCAGCCACCCATGGTACCCCTGCCCTGCCCCTCTCTCCCCCACTCCGTGTGGGAGGGATGAAGGGTGATGGGATTCAGTCCAAAACAGTCCTGGAGGGTGGACTGGGACTCTTCCAGCACTGCAGATGGGTCCAGAACCCCCAGACCCCAACTCTGAGAGTAGAGGAGCTGGGTGCCATGGCCAGCAGAGCCCAGGGAACAGGGCAGAGCCTTGCCCAAATATCCTGCTGGACACAGTGAGGGGGACACGACTCCTTCCCTCAGGTTCCCTCCTGCCATGACCCATGGGAGCCCAGCACTGGCACAGGAGGGTCACAGCTTCCTCTCCCCACAGCTGGGGCAGCGTGTCCAAAGCTCCCATCTGACACCTGTGGGGTGGGAGCAGCTGCAGCCCTGTCAGGGCTCCCTTAGAGCCCTTTGGCTCCTGCCTCTCCAGGTCCCCATTCCCAGCAGGGTGATTAATGCCTGGTGTCACACCACCAGCGGAAACAAGAGTCTGCTTTTGTCATCCCCTGATGAAAAGGACGTTGCTATGGAAATTGGAGACTGCATCACTGCTCTTCCTCGTGCAATGTTTTTTTCCTCCTCTAGAGCATTTATGATGTGGTTTTTTTCTGAAACAACAGATGCATCAGAAGAAACCCAAACCAGCGGGTAATCACGAGATTCAGCCACCATCCATGTTAGGTGACAATGAAGTGACATTGAGGCCCGTGAAGCACAGTTCCTGTGCCCACTGCCCCAGCTGCTCCCTGCCACCACCAAGAATGAAGAAGCCACAAACCCCATCCCAGCCTGCTCTGCCCTCCAGCCAGCCAGGACTCAACCCCACTCGTGATTCCAGCTGAGCAGTCCCAGCCATGGTGCAGCTCAGCCCTGTGGTGTCTGATGCCCAGATGTGCAGTGTTATGCATTCAGATGCTTTCAGCTCCGAATGCCTCCTCCATTCCCACAATGGATATGCCTTCTACTCCCCTGGAAAGGGTCCACCACTTCTGACCTGAGAACAACCCAGCCCTGCCTGCAACAGCAGTGAGGCAGACTGGGGAAGGGTGGGAAGCGGGGTCAGGACCCAGCCCTGACCACAAAACCACAGCATGGTGTGAGATAATCCTTTAGCATGGACAGAAGCCCAGCTCTGGCACCAAGAGGGGCTGGCTCGGGCTCCCTGCCTGCCTACCTGCTGCAGGCAGCCTGACTCCAGTGCTGCATTCCAGGCAGACCGGTTCCCAGGAGAAAGGGCTGGGAAGTAACAACGGGCAATCCTGCAGCAGCAAACAGGGATGTGGAGGCCCCTGGAAGAGCAGGTCTTTGTGGGCAGCATGGGCAGCCATGGTGACTGCCCATTCCTGATCCCTGCCAATGCCTGGCTGTTGTGATGAGGGCTTTGTGAAGAGAAGGAGTAGAGGTGGGAGAAGTGGGATGGAGCATCTCTCGTGGCTCCTGGTGTCCAGCCTGGCAGCTCCATAGTGCCATCTGGTCAGCAGGTCTGTCTCTGCCCTGCAGAGGTGACACTGAGCACAGCAAACAGGAGCAAAGTTGAGCCATGGGGCAGGCAAGATGGAGCTGCACAAGGCACCTGCTCTGCATCCCAGTGCCAGCCCATGCTGGGCACAGGGCAGAGAAGCAGCTGGGGATGGCACCAAGCAGCTCCAGCTATCCCAGCTGCAGCTGCCCAGCTGGCATGGGAGAACAGACACCGGGACACAAAGGAGAAGAGAGCATCCCAAGAGCAGGCATCTCCTGTCCTGAGCTGAAACACTCTTCCCATGCCCCTGGCATTCCCATTTATTTGCCTGCAGGCAGATGGATGCTGTTGGTGGAATTTTTCCTTTCCTGTGACCAGGCATATAGGACTTTTGCAAAGCTGCTGTAAAAGATTCATGCTCTGGGCCATTGGGATTCAAAAGGCAAGGAGGGGTGTGGAGGGGAAGACAAACATAGAGACAAAGGGGCAGAAAGGAGGAAAACTTCTGGAGATGTCCCTCGCCTTGTCCTGAAGAGCCAGCAGCATGGCAGAGCCCAGTGAGTGGGCAGGCACCAAGCAGGAGAAAGCTCAGAACCCACATCAGAGAAAATAATCATCAGATTTTAAAGGCAGCAGAGGCACAGCTCCAGACAGAGATCATGATCCTTGTGGGATCAAAGCCAGGGGTCTCCTCCACACCATCCTGGTGGGAGCCATCAGGAGAGGGGCCAGGAATTTTGATGCCCAGTATGGTGCCCACAGAGTGCAGGACAGCACAGGAACAAAGCAGCAGTGTTGGGGAGCAGGTGGGTGGCTGTGGCAGCTGAAGTTTGCAGGCAAAAGGACAGCAGAGAAAAGCTGAGCCCTTCCCAGCCTGGGCTCCACTGCCTCCCACAGGGCTCAGTGCATTAGGCAGGAGAAGAAGCTGTGTCCCTGCCCCAGCAAATAATCTCTGCAAATAATCCTGGGAAGAGGAAAAATTGCTCTCACTCCCTTCAAACATGTTTATCTTTGGCTTCTCTGCAAGGAGCTGGGGGATTGAGAAAGTCCTGCCCTGCTGGCACTACTGGCATCCTCCTGCCTCCATCAGCCACAGCAGCAGCAGGCTTCTGAGCCCCCCACACTTGCTCCCCAGCCCCCTGGCCAAGAGGATTAGCCAGTGGCCTGTCCATTCATGGAGAAAATCCTCACTGTCAGCAAAGGGCTCCTGCCCTCTGTGGTGCAGGCAGAGGCACGGGCTGGAGGGGTGGGGGCACAGCCAGGGTGTGCAGGATGAGCAGGGGCAGAGGGCTCTGAACAAACACAGCCATGGTGGAACTGGGGGATGCCTGATGCTCTTGACTGGGGCATGACAGGTCCCCCCCACCCATCAGAACCAGAATGGGGAGCATCTACCCTACCTATTCCCTGGCCCTGGGCAGGTGGGAAGCTCCTGCATGGACAGGAGGCTTCCTCACTGTGAAGGTAGAAGCTCTGCACCCCAGGCAGATGGAGAATCCCTGTCCAACCATGAAGGGAGAACCCCCACAGGATGCCAGGACAGCAGATGTTGCCCCACAGACCTCCCATTCCTGCTGCCTAGGCTTGGGGTGGCCAGGGGGCCCAGTGGGGTCCCAGAGCCCCCCTGCACCCTTGGGTGCTGTCCTTTCCCAGCAGCAGGGTTGTCATAGCAGCCTGCAGCGGGGGTGGCTGGCACTGGTGTCTCACCCACCGGTGGTGACGCAGGCAGCCCCAGGCGGGCGGGCGGGCGGCAGGCAGGGAGTTATTTTAGACACTGCCCCATCTGGAGGCTTCCAGAGCCAGGGAGGAGGGATTTGACTGCCATTCCCACACCGTACTGCCTGCAGCTGTTATTTAAAGAGGGGCAAAGGACAGACAAACTCCTGACAGGACATACGGCCCCAAGCCTCCATGCTACACCCTGCACCATGAGCACATAATTCCCTCAGCAAATCCTCCTCCCGCCCCTCCATCCTGCTGCTGTTGCATCTCCAAGAGCCCCAGAGAAGCAGGGATGGGTGCTGGCATGCTGCAGTGAGTGGCACCTGGCCAGGCAGTGCTGGCCCATGCACAGATTGGGTGTGGAAGAGCCTGATCTATAGTGGAAGGTTGGAACGAGATCATCTTTAACATCATCCCTTCCAAACAAAACCATCTTGTGATTCCTCCCTCATTGCCTACTGGGGAATACTGCCCCTTTCACTGTCACCAAAATCCAAGGGCTCAGTGCCAGGTAGAGCCCACCACTGCCATTTCAACAGCAGGACTGCATTTCTCCATGGAAAGCTGACATCCCCTCCACACTTCCTCCGGAGATGCTTCAGGCATCCTCACCAAGGTTCCCTGCAGGCCACACCTTGCTACTGTGGCCACACCACCCGTGCTCCTCCCCAGGCAGCACCCGAAGCCCCCCTGGCCCTCAGGCACTCACTGGTGGTGCTCCCCGACATCTGGATGATGCATTTTGATTCCCGGCTCATCTCCCGGGAGTTGAAGGGCCGGACTCGCACTGCCACCTTCACGGACGCTCCCGCCATCGCGCCGGCCACACCTGGGTCCTGCTAGGGGGGAGCAGTGCCTGTCCTGCAACAGGGAACAAAAGAGGGTTAGGAAAACTTGCATTCCAACACACATCTTGCAACTGTGCAGGATGAACGGAAAGTCTGTGCAAGGAAACCTCCTGGAAACGCTGTTTTGCCTCTGCCCAAAAGATGACATTTTGCTTCATACCTTAATCTGCCCTCCCTGATTTTACCTCTCTCTTTTCCCTGTCGTACCCCAGGTCAGGACTCTCAGCTCCATTTACCCCAGGGCAGCACTGAAGCCTCCATCAGCCTGCAGCATCCCTTGGTGGGCACCCACAGCAGCAGACAGAGCCTGGTGGGCACTGTCAGCATCAGCATGATCCCCAAGGAGAATATTTTTCATCGCGGGGTGCCAATGGCACTGAGCAGGTACCCTCTAATCTGAAAGCAAGTCTACAAGCCCCTGCCTGCTACCCAAGCCTCCTGCCTCCACTGCAAGGCCAGCAGAGCAGGGGCTGGGCAGCAGCACAGAGCAGGGCGGGGAGGAGAGCCATGGCATTCCATTGAGAAAGGAGGCGGATGTTGAACACAGCCCTGGCATGTGCCTCCCATTCAGCTCCCACAAAGCAGATGTGCAGGATCAGCACCAGCAGCCCTTCCTGGGAAGCCAGTGGCCATTGCACTCAGCTGAAGCTCCCAGTTTAGCATCATATTTCCAGCCCTTTTGCTAAAAAGTATAAATTGCAAGTCTCGCAAGACAAAGCAAACCCCTCACCAACATCTCCCAGAGCACTTGTCCATCCCAGCACTGATGCCCAGGTGCTCTGCAGCCATTCCCACCTTGCCTCACCTGCAGTTAAGCCTCACCAGCACTGGCCAGAAAATCACACTGGGATCCTTCCTCTGATTGCTGCATCCTTCAGGATCCTTTTGGACCTCATAAAATCCCTTCCTGCCTTCTAACATCTATTGTTTTTCCTGGCTTCCCATGCTGAGCCTGGTGGTGAAAATGGAGCACAGGACCCCTCAGAAAATAGGCAGGAACTGCTCCTCTGGCATCCCACACCTGCAAGGGTGTGTCTGAATTCCCTAATGCTTTTCAAGCCTGGGTTTTGCCAGCAGGATATTTGCTCCAGGAGGAGGGAGGTCAGGGAGAAATGAGATCCTTAGTGAGCACTGGCACAGCTCTGGTTACATGAGCCATGACCAGAAGGAAGTGGAGCAGTAAGGAGGGATCTTGAACGTGAGATGTGTTTTCCCATGGTGGAAATGAAAAATTCAGGAGAATTTATGGACAAAGTCGGGGGGGGAAGGGAATCAAAAAACAAATCCACATAATAGAAAGTATCCCAAGAGAAGGAGATGGCTTTAAAACTACCTGAGGTTTGACAGCTGTGGTTTGATTTCCAAGGGGGTGAGAGGAAACCATAGACACGGTGGAAAAATTTGGATAAATAAAGTGTTACAAGCTTGGCACTGCCTTTCAGAAACCCTTTGCCTATTTTATAAGTGAGCTGGCATGTCCAACAGCATGCAGAGGACAAAGCTTCCTCTGTTGGAGTTCCCAAGCCCTCCTCTTATCTTCCCGCTGGGATGGCTCTGGAGCTCCCACTGTGCTCAGCCAGTGATCACACCCATAAATTCCAGAGTTCAAGCATTTGGTCTCAGGCTTTCCTGAGCTTGGATTATTTTAAGCAGGTGTTTAACACCACCCTTGAGTCCCTAAGCCAGCAAGAGGGCTGCTGCCTGCCAGTGGCCTCTGCCTCCCCTCTCAGATGGGGGAAAGGAAAAATTAAACAGAAGTGCTTGCCAAAGGGGAATGAAGAAGTTGTTTTTCCCATGAAATGATTGGATATATTCCCATGTGGAAGGGCTGTGTCTTCACGAGGCTATCAGCTCGAGCTGCTCCACCCTGTGGCACCACTCAAGGACAATGGATTCATCCCCTGGCCAAATCCCATCTGCACCTGACAACTGCCCATGTCAAACATTTCCCTCTCCTCCCAAATCAAGACAGCTCCATCCCCCAGCTCTGCAGCCTCTCCAGCTACCAGGGCTCTGAAGAGGTGGGTCAGGTCCCTGGACTCCTGCCTCCTGCACAGCCCCAGAACAGCAACACCCATCAATGAGCCCACCAGCCCCAGGACTGCCTGCTGCCTGCCACGGGCCACCTCAGCCCCTGCTCTTATCCTCTCCTACCCCTGTGCCACTCCCAGCCACTCCAGCCCCATCACTCCCCATAAAGAAACTCTGGTTTCTCCTTTGAACCAATTTTCCATGTGCCTCACCCTGCTGTGTACCTTCCACTGGTGCTGCTTTCCTTTCTTTGCTTTCTTCTGCCCAGTCAGCCCCACACCCCGTATCCCCATTGTTGGTGGCCATGAGAAACGCCCTTCTCGCCAGCAGGACCTTTCCTCTCTCCCTGCCATCCATAGGCTATATCCCAGTGTATTCCCATCTGGCTCTCCTTGCCCAGTGCTGTGAGCTCCTCTCCTGACCAGTATTCCCTGCTGCAGAGCCCCAGCTCCATTTTCTGCTCCATCCATTCCCCTCAGTTTCCTTGGTGGGCAATGCACTGCTTCCCTCTGCTCCTCTGCAGCTCTGCAGTTCCATTCCTGCCACGGCAGCACAAGGAACCCCTGTGCCCTTGGGGACCACCAGCAGACACTGACCCAGCTGCTTCTCACCGTCCTTCCCTTCCCCTCACTCACTTCCCTGGCTCAGCTATGGGGAGGAACTCAGCCTGCACCCAGGGTATCACTCAGCATCCTGCAAAGAGAGGGGCAGGGCTGCAGCGAGCAGGGCCAGGGGCAGGGCCAGGCAACCCCTGCCAGCCTGTGGGCAGCTCGAGTCCAGCCAGCTCGCCCTGCCTGGGGACATCCAGAGCAGCCACTGCCTGCTTAATCTGCTGCCATCGAGAGAAATTCGATAAGCCATGACCAGCATTTTGCTGGGAGTGTGCCAACACCAAAGCCCCGCTCCCTGTTCCCTCCCTGTTCCCTCACAGGGCTATCCTACACACAGGGGAGGTTGCACAGAGGAATGAATAGCCAAGCCCCTGGGGCCAGGGGGAACATCTGGACCTGACCCCCAATTCTGTAGGGCATCTCTTCCCCCACTTCCCGTGCAGCCTGCTGGCTCTGCCCATCCCTATGACACATCAGTCACCCCCAGAGAGGAGCAAAAGGCCTGGAGAGCCATGATTAACTGGATCAGCTAAGATTAATTGGACAGAGATTAGCTAATGAAACCGCTCTTAAGTCCAAGGGCTACCAACTGGCAGCCTCTCCTGCTGAGAGGTGACCAACAGGACAGGGAGCATTGTCCCCAAGTGCCACCAAGCAGCAAGCTCTTCCCCAAAGGATGCTAAGGAACGTGGTCTGCTGCCATTGCCCCAGCCCCAGCAGATGATGAGCTGCCTGCACCCAGGGAAATCCAAGGTGAGTTTCCCTTTGTCTGCACACGCATCCAACCCCACGTCACCTCAGTGGCGAGGGTGGACGCCCCGTTTGGCTGCACCAGTGTATTCTCAGCAGCTGCCAGGCTTTGTTGTGGTGAGCCCTTCCCCTGCACCCTTTGTTGGGGCCCCCAGCTCTGACTGGCACCACGGGTCATTGTCTCCCTGTAGGGCAGCAGGGAACACGTTGCTGGATGACATGGCAGCATCGATGCCTGCCAGCCAACCTCCTCACCCACCTCCCGCCCCACACAGGACAAGGGGCCATGACAGTGCAGTTTTCTCCAGAGCAGCACCTGAAGGCAGGGAAACAGCCCAGAGGACAGCCCAGGACTAGGGAAAGTGCCCTCCATGCTCAGATGCAATCCAGCCCCTGCTTTCCCAGTGCCATCACAGGCATCCTGCCCAGTGCCTCCTCACCTCCTGCCCACCCCAATGGGGGACACAGCTTCAGGGCAGAGTTTGCAGCTCCCTGAGCATTTCCATACAGATTCAGTTTACAAGTAGCAAATGTAAGGACATGGATGAGGGGTTCTGCTCCCCATCTCTGCTGCAAAGTAACCCCACCCTCCATCCCTACTCCCTCCATCCTCTCTTGCAGGCAACACCCGAACCCAAAGCAGGGAAAAGCTGCATAGAAAAGGCAATGAGCTCCGGTGGGTGCCCAGCATTGCTGGGCACGGAGAAGGGTAGCCAGGGAGGGGGCGGACACCAGATTCCCATATGACCCGGGGCTTGAGGGGCTGCAGCTCTTGCCACATGCGGGGAGGTGGAGGGTGGTGGCAGCGTCTTTGCCAGCGCCAGCTGCCACCTCCCAGACAAAATGGAGGTCAGCAGCAGCATGCCGAGATGGCAGAGCCACCACACCCCTGGCCATACCCAGGGGAGGGGGAGGGTCTGCTGCCTCCCTGTCCCTCAGTGCCACAGAGGCCACCTGCACGGGGCTGCTCTGGGCGCTGGGATGGAAGGCTGCCGGGCTGTGCGGTGCTACGGGAGATGCTCAGCTGGTTCCTTGTCCTCCCCGAGCCCTGCTGCTGTCGCATGGGACCTGAGCAGGCAGGAGACCGGCTCACGGGGTCTGCAGGATCTAGGGGAGGGGTCACTGCCCCGCGAGGGGGAGGAGGAGGAGGAGGAGGAAGAGGAGGAGAAGGAAGCAGAGGAGTAAGACAATAGGGCAGGTGCAGGGCTGCTCCCTGCAAACCTGGATGACCAAGCGTGGAGCTCTGCACTAGCCCTGCACCCCAGGACCTGCCCCTTCAACATCCAGCAGCCACTGCACTGGCCCGCAGTGACATGGCGGCCCTTGTCCAGCCATTCCACAGCGCAAGGTCACCGGCAGCTGCTCGTCCTTGGTGGCCAAGGAGAATCTCAGCATCGCAGCATCTTTGCCAGCGACCCGCGGCGAGAGCCCCAGGTGGGGCATCCACCACTCCCTCCAGCGCTGTGTTTAACTCTGAAGCATTATGATGATGACGCAAGATGGCTCAGCTGCATAACCACAGCCATCTGCCCCGGAGGGGAGAACAGGGGTGGCTCTGGGGTGACAAGGGGTTCCTGTGCCCCCTCCAGGGGCTGCGGGGATGGCATCCTCCCCCTTCGCACCCTGGCTGGGGCCGGGGTGACAGAGGCGTCTCCTCGTCCGTGGGCAGCCCCCCCCCCCCCCCCCCACCCCGGCTGGATCCTTCTGGAAGATGGGGCGGCACCCGGCGGTCACCGCGCTGGGGACCCGAGGGCAGTTTCCCCACACTTCGAGCATCGGGGGGCTCCGGAAAATGGCCCCCATCCCCCCCCTGCCCTGCAGGACCCTCGGGGATGCGCATCCCGCTCCCACCCGCCGCGCCTCGCCCCGCCGGGGCCACGAGGGGCGGCACGGCCACTCCGGAGCATCCTCGGTCCCCCCTCTGCCAGCGCCCCGGCGGGGCTGCCCCGTCCTGGCGATGCCTCCCGCCCCTACCTGTGATGCCGGTGGCCGTGGCCGCGGCCGGTTCGGAGGGGCGCGGCGCTCAGCCGTGGGCGGGGAGCGCCGGCATGAGGCCGAGCCGCGCGGTGCGATGCGGTGCTGGTGCTGGTGCCGGTGCCGGTGCCGGTGTCGGTGTCGGTGTCGGTGTCGATGTCGGTGTCGGTGCCGGTGCGGGTGGCAGCGGCCCCGCCCCTGCGGTCCCCGCCCCACTCGCTGGTTGGCGGCCGCCGCCGCCCGGAGGGGGACGCGGGGACCGGGAGGGCGCGCTCGGGGATGGAGCGGTGACGTCAGCGCATCCCCCGGCCCCGGGCGTGCTGCGGATCCGCCGCAGGGGCGGGGCGGGGAGGGGCGGGGAGGGGCGAGGAGGGCTCGGCAGCCGTCGCCTGGCAACTGGCACCGACCCGGTACCCGGTACCCCAGTATAGCCCGGTACTCGGTACCCCGCACCGGACACCGCTAATCCTGTTCCCCGGCGCAGTATTCCAAGGAGCGGTCCCTGCCAGGGCTTCTTGTGCTGGCGCCGTCTCTTCGCTCCTCCATCCTCCGGGCCCCCGCCCGCTGCCCGGGGCACGGCCGCTCCTGCCCATCTGCGCCCGGAATTCAGAGCCAGCGCAGAAAGAGGATTATTCCTTCTCTGCCAGCTGTTTCCACCAGCACGGCCACCCTTGCCCCACGGCAGTCCCGAGACCACGAGTCCCCTCCCCGCCCCAGCCGTGTCCCAAATCTCCCTGGAGGACAGGCAACTGAGAGATCTCCTTCATCCGATGTGTCGTCATCGCTTTGGTGGGATGATGGCCGGGCAGGAGTCCCCGTGCTGTCTGTGGCTTCCATCAGCCATGCAGGAGCAAACTCATCTGCCCCCAGCTCCTCTCAGCCATAGCCACCCAGCTGCTGGGCAGATGTGCTCTCACCTGGCACTGTTGCCAGCCCCACTCCTCGGTCCCACACGTTCTCAGCAGCGGCCACTGGTGCCAGTTCTGCCGGGTGGGAATTCTCACCCTACGCTGTCACCCCCAGACAAAGCTTTGCTCACTGAGGGGCTCCTCTGGGCAGGGACCCTCTCATGGATCTGCTAAAGCTGGCAGCAGGCAGCTAGTTTGCCTTTCAGGGTATGCATGGCAGAGACTATGCCCGAGGTTGGGCACCGTGCAGTGTGCTGTGTGTACACATAGCAGGTAACAGAATATCGAACCCACGTGGCATCCTCAGGATACACTGCCGTGCTCATGATCCAGGCTGAACCTGCAGAGCACAGCTCCTATGGCAGGGACTGTGTCCGTGTCACAGCCCACAGCCCTGGTGCACATCAGTCCACTGGCCAGCCTCCTTCAGGCTGTCACCCAGCCACACATCCCTCTGCAAGACAGGTCCCTGGTCAGGGAGCCCAGCTCAACAGGAACTCTTTGCTGCAGGAGGAGCTACGACCACGGCAGCTGTGCCAGACCAGCCTCAGCACAACCATCCTGTAGCACAGGATCTAAGTGCCCAGAGCAGGGATTCCACCTGCTGGGATGCTGTTGGGAAACATTATTTCTGGTGATGTGTGGACCGTGGGGACAGGGACTGCCTGGGGATTTGCAAGTCCCAGAGGCTGTCATACCGGGAGAGTGATGAGCACTAGCAAGGGGGTATCCCCCAAAATGAGAGGCTCAAGACAGCGGGGAAAGCACTGGTGACACATTAACCAGACAGAACAGGCCACCAGGGGTAGAGTCCAGACTGGTAGGGGGGAGCACTGAATTCTGGTCAAGGTCCATGGGACACTGGACACTACTGGCCCAGGATACGCTGCTCTGCAATGCTGGCAGCTGCTCAGGCAGCCTCCACTGCTTCTCTTCTCAGGGCTCAGCTCCTGGGGACAGCACGTCGTGCCATGGCCACCAGTCTGCTCCGTGTTGCCCCGCCGGAGGAGCTGCTGCGGCCCCTGGCCGTGCCGGAGAGGCTGCTGCTCGGGCCAGGGCCCAGCAATGTGCCCCCCCGCATCCAGGCTGCGGGAGGGCGGCAGCTCCTGGGCCACATGCACCCTGAAGTGCTGCAGGTGAGCTGCCCCAGCCCAGCTTTCCTTCCTTCCCCTCCTCCTTCTCACCCCCAGGAGGGGCTGGAATAGCTCTGCTGGAGCAAGAGGAGCAATATCAGTGCTGGCCAGTGTCCTGCTGCCACAGGTGATGGATGAGATCAAGGCGGGCATTCAGTACGCCTTCCAGACACGGAACCGGCTGACCCTGGCCATCAGTGGCAGTGGCCACTGTGCCATGGAGGCTGCCCTCTTCAACCTGCTCGAGCAAGGGGACCCCGTGCTGGTGGCCATCAATGGCATCTGGGGACAACGTGCTGCCGACATTGCCAGGAGGCTAGGTATGCTGGGAACAGGCAAATGGAGTGGCAGGGCTGAGGGGACTGGGCTTGAAGGCAGGATGCTCCAGGCTGCTGTCCCAGTCCTGGCAGTGCTGAGTGACACAGCTTACAAAAGCAGAGAGCACTCTGCTAGAGAGCACTCCAGGTTTTTCCAAGAATGATGCCACTCCATTTATGGTGCTTTACGGCCTTTCCACTGGGTAAATCTGCAGGAGGATAGACAGGTGGCTCTGCTCCTGGTTCATGCATGACCAATGGCCCCATGGAGCAGGTGACTGCCCAGTGGGAAGCATGCCCAAACCTCACCCCCCTCTGCCCAAATTCCTCCCAGGAGCGAATGTCTATGAGCTGCTGAAGCCCCCGGGCAAGTACTTCACTCCACAAGACATTGAGCAGGTGAGTGCTGGTCAGTATGCAGAGGGCACAAGCTGACCTCCAGTGTGGTCACCGTCCCTCTGTGTCATGCAGGGCCTGGTGCAGCACAAACCTTTGGTGCTTTTCATCACGCACGGCGAGTCCTCCACGGGGGTGCTGCAGCCACTGGAGGGGCTGGGCAGGCTGTGCCACCGGTCAGTGCATGGGACTGGGGGCACCCCAAGGGCACCACTGGGAATTTGGGCCTGGGGATTTATATATGCTGGGCTTTTCTCTGGCTCTGTTGTGCTGGAAGCAGTTGGTGCCAGTGAGACACGCAGCCCCTGTGGGAACCAGGATGCCAGGGCTGCAGGCAGAGATGTGGCAAGAGGAGGTGGCAGGAACATCAGGCTGAGCTCTGTCCTCCCACAGGCATGGCTGCCTGCTGCTTGTGGACGCAGTGGCATCGCTTGGGGGAGCCCCCATCTTCATGGACCACCAAGGTAAGAGCCACAGTGCCATCATGGGCAACCAGGGGACAAAGGGGCTCATGACTAGGACAGAGAGAGAGAGCAGTGGGATCAGCCCCTCTGCCTGCATTTTGGCTAGCAGCACTGGAAACTGGTCCAGCTGCAGCCAGGGAGCCTGTTCCCCTTGAGGGATCATCAGCAGTGCCAGGGGCCCTCCCAAAGCAGCCTGAACACAAGGAGGACCTGCCATGTGTGCCATCCTCCTGCTTCCCACCCACCACTTGCAGCTAGGTCGGAGGGCTCAGCATTTTCCTGCTGGGAGCCTCTGATTTCTGAGGAGTTGTCTTCCCTCTTGGGCAGAGATCGATGTCCTGTACTCGGGGTCCCAGAAAGTCCTCAATGCACCCCCTGGCAGTGCCCCCATCTCATTCAGTGAGCGAGCCAGGTAAGAGCAGCCCAGTCTCACCGGGGTGGAAGGCGATGGGGCTGGGGGAGGCCGTGGCCTCTCTCCTTTGCCAGCCACCTGCTTCAGTCCTGCTCTGTGGAGAGTATGCCCAGCAGCAGTGCTGTGGGGGTAGAGCCCATCCCATCCCTGGGCAGTGACTGGGAGCTGGAGCCAATCTCTGTGCTCATTTTAGGGGAGTCCTCCCTCCCACATGGCTGATCCCACCTTGGAGCGGGTGGGGTCAAGCTCCCACCTCTCCTCAAGTACTCTGTTTCGCCAGGGAGAAGCTGCTGAGGAGGAAGACGAAGCCTCCATCCTTCTATCTGGACATGGGCTGGTTGGCAAACTACTGGGGCTGTGACGGGGAGCCGCGGAGGTGAGGACAGGCTCCCTTGTTACAGACAGAGAACCTTGCAACCCCTCCCCACCCAGCCTTTGTCCGGGCTCAGGGGCTGCCTGCCCTCCAGGGCTAGCCCCTGCCTCCCCATCACCCTGGCTTCTGGTCACAACTCTCTGCACCGGGTGATGAGGAGGGAGGATGCTGTGCCTCAGTTTCCCCGACCACAAGCAAGCTGAACCCCTCTGGGTGCCCCTTGAGTTTTGCAGGTACCACCACACTGCACCCATCAACAGCTTCTTCAGCCTGCGGGAAGGCTTGGCCATGCTGGCAGAGCTGGTGAGTGGCACCACACAGGCAGGGCAGCACTAACAGTGTCCCTGGGGCTTGGAGGAACCGTGGTGCCAGGAGATGCCTGTCAGCAGCAGAGACCTTCTCTCTCCTCTCCGTCCACAGGGTCTGGAGAGCTCGTGGGAGCGACACCGGGCCAACTGCAGCCAGCTGTGCCAGGGGCTGCTCGACATGGGGCTGCAGCTCTTTGTTGAGGAGGAGGTGGGTGCAGGGCAAGCCCACCACCACCACAGAGTAGGGGCAGCGTGAGGACACAGCCCTGTGCAGCTGGAGATGTGCCTGGGCAGATTTTGATGCCAGAGAAAAAACTCTCCCCTCAGTGATTCTCTGTCCTGGCAGTGTGCTGGGGTCACCAGGGGCTGTGGGACTGAAACCAGTTTCTCTGCTCCTCAGAAGGCCAGGCTTCCCACCATCACCACTGTCAGGGTGCCTGAGGGCTATGACTGGAAGGACATCACAGCCTTTCTGATGGACAAGCATGGCATGGAGATCGCTGGGGGCCTGGGCCCCACGGTGGGCAAGGTGGGCAGAGTCCTCCCCTCCTCCTGCTGCCCATGGCTGGGCACTGACGCTGTGTTCACTGCCACTCTCTGGCTGCTGGGCACTGATCCTGTGTTCGCTGCCACTCTCTGGCTGCTCTAACCCAATATTCACTGCCACTCTCTGGCTGTGTCCCATCGCCCAGAGCAACGCATAGCAGCATAACCACACACAATCACCAGCTAATTGAATAACCACGCACGTAATTAGCGGGGTTGCACCTCTTTATAGGGAACGGTGTGTTAAATAGGAGCAAGGGAGCTCTCTCTCTCACACCTGGCTGTGTGTCCTCCACTCCACACGGGGCTGCTGAGGCACAGACACTCACCCTTCTCCTCCCAGGTCCTGCGCATTGGCCTCATGGGCTGCAACTCAACCAGTGGCAACGTGGACCGAGTACTTGGAGCCCTGCAAGATGCCCTGAAGCGCTGCCACCGCAGCAGGCTGTGAGCTCCCCTGGCTGGGGGGAGGCTGGGGGAGGTGGCCTGGCACTGCCTCGATTGCCTGGCTGCTGGCAGAAGAGGATCTCCACTGCCTCCCTGGGATGCTGGCAGCAGCCACGGCAACACCCAGCAAGCCAAGGCACAGTGGAAAGAAGCTGGGATAGCAGGGGACATGGAGGAGAGGGCTGTGCTCAGCAGATGTGAGACATGGCTCAGAACCACTTCTCCCATGGCCCCCCAGCTCTTTCCCTTCCCCTGGCCCCAGGGCATGGTGACCCTCAGCAAACTGACAGAGGGCTGAGTGCAGGATCTGACCATAGGTCCCTTCCCCTCCCATCACCAACAACCTCTGCTTTCCCTACCCTGTAGTGCAGAATGCCAGCCATCCCCCTCCAGATCCTGCACCATGAAGCACCCAGGTCCAGCAGGGCGGCCAAGAGGCTGTGTGTGCCCCCAGCTGCAGCAGATGTGCTCTCTCCCCCATACCACCCTTCCTCAATAAAATGACACAGCAGCACGCTGCTCCCTGGCCCTGTAGCTCTCCTTGCGCCCCCCCCAGAGTTTCAGGACACCCCAATGGGGCAGCAGCAGGGTCCCACTCAGCTCTGCTGAGGGATTTCTTGACGGATCTTGGAGAGGAGCTGGGACGCTGCTGAGAGGCGTGCACTGTCCTGGATCCGGAACACCTGAAACTAAAGGCAGGTGGGAAGTGAGGGGACAGGGTCCCCACTCTGCTTGAGCTCCATGCCCCAGCACTGTCAGCCTCCACAGCATGTCAGAGGGCTTGGTGAGGCCAATTGCAGCACATCCCAAGCTTCCTAGCCCAGGTGGATTCTGGTGCTGCCTTCAGCTGAAGGGCTGGGCTTACCTGGCTGAGCAGCATGTCAAAATAGGCTGTGTCCCAGTAGGATGCATCCTTGGTGGGCAGCTGCAGGAGGGCTCGTGTCTCAGTGTCTGCCTGCCAACTGCCACTGAACCCATGGAGGCCAAAATGGAAGTGGAGGAAGCGCTGGGGGTCCCAGGCAAAGCTCTCGACTTTATGGTAGAGGGAGGGAAGGTCTGGGCCCGCTCCTTGGAAGAGGTTTTCCTCTGGGTTCAGGAAGTGGGGCAGGTGCTGGGTGGCCAGGCAGCGGAGAAGGATCACCAAGAGCCTGTAGACAGAGCCTTCCAGGTCCTGCCAATCCTCTGGGGAGGGGAAGAGCTCTGTGCTCCACAGCAACACCATCTGTGAGGAGGGAGAGAAGAGCACAGGATCAGGAACAAGGCCTGATCCCAGGAAGGATCCCTTCATACCCTGCAGATCACCATGCAACAGCTTATGGGGCTGAATCCATGGGGGCTGGAGCAGATGATACTTTTCTGCAGGTCAGATACATTCATCTGCCCTTTTTCTTCAGAAACACCCCACAACCACCATCCCCAAAACATCAAAGAATGCAACACAAAACAAAGTACACAGGATTTGGGTTACTCGGAGCTGGAGCCAAGCAGCAGTTTTCTGTAAGCAGAAAACATTCTTGCATCTTTCTTGACCCTTGGCTTGGAGAGCCATCAAAAGGCAGGGCACACCTGGATTGTGTCACCAGCTGTCCCCAGCATGGCCAGTTGGCATGGCTCCAGAGTCTTCAAAACAGGTTGGGTGGGGAAAGAAGGTTTTTTCTCAGCAAAAATGGCACCCTCAGCTCTGTACAGCCCTGTACAGGCACGTCCCAGCACTCCAGGGCATGGGGCAGCCTGCAGCATGGCACGGGGATGCCATCCCACAAACACAGGCAGCCTGAGCCAGGGGAGGATGCCCTGCAGACCAGTGTAGAGCCCCAGGTATCTCAAGTATCCCAAGTATCTCCAGCTGGAGGTTGCTGGTTCAATCCAAGAGAGAAGGATCAAAGCCTTCCAACCATGGCTGGCAGCAGCACACATCCTTTCCAGACACAGCCATGGGCTGGGACGCCCCAAAGCACTGCAGGCACTCACCCTTGTTGTTGGGTTCTCGTGCAGGGCAGCAGCCTTGGCTCTGCTAGCCCAGAGAGCCCTGGTCCCAGCCAGCAGAACCAACCTACCTTCAGGTGGTTGAAAGTGAGACTGCCTTTCCCACCCTGCACTCCCCAGTCCTGGTCACGGAGCTGGTCGAGCAGGCGAAGGCTGTCCAGACGGGGTCCCTGCAGGCTGTCCACTCCTCGGAGCAGCTTCAGGATGGGAAGGTGAGTGGAGGATCTGGAGGAAGAGAGTGGGGTCTGGAGGGAGGGGAGATGAAGACCTGCATCCTCCCAGGATGGGGAGAGAATGCCTGCAGTGACTTGGCGTGTGGGGGGATCCCTCTGTGGCACAGATGTGGTCTCAGTCAATGCAGCACCTTGGATCTACCTCCTGTGCTTGCCTCTGGCAGAGCAGAGCTTCAGAGGTGTGGAGTGAGATGGGAACACTGCTGACCAGCTCCTGCCTTCCCAGGAGGATCAAGAGCAGGATGAAGTGTGGTTGTGCTGCCCTATGTGTAGTGGGGAGGGGAGGCTGGATTGGTTCTCAACAAGGGGCTGAGCATCCAGCTGGACCACCTTGTTCCCAAAATAAATAAGGACTGGTCTAGCTGGCTGCTCAGCCCCTTGTTGGGGCTGGGTAGTTGTGCTGGCAGGCAAGATGTGTCAATCCAGCTCCATTTTGTCCTGCAGCCCACCTTGGGAGGCACCTCATCACCCTGCTGCTGCCAGGTGCCTAGGCTTGTTTCTAAAGCCCAAGCAGGAATCTGAGAGCTGCCACCCTCTGCACAGTCAGGGTGAAGCTCCAATAAATCATTTCAGGGGGCTCCTTCAGTCACTCCCCCTCTTTCCCTGAGCTGTCTAAAACTTGGCTGAGGTTCTTTTCTCCAACACAGGGAGGAGTGTTTGGGCATCATAAGGGGGTGACTTCAACCCCTGCTGACATGTCCCCATTCTTTCCCAACCTCTTTCTGCCCACATCCAGCAGTGCTGCCAGCCAGGGGGGATCCCTGGCACAAGATCACCCCGCTGTGCATGCAGCCCAGCCTCTCACCTCCAGCAGTGGGGAGAGGCAGGGACAAAGTGAGCCTCTTCTGTGGCCTTCCTGAGGCTGCCTTCGGGGAAACCCTTGTCTCTCTGCCGCCTCTGGAGCTGGAGGGGCTCTTGCTGCCTCCTCACCACAGGAACAATGTCAAAGCGAATGGTCTTCCAGCTGCCACGAATGAGCAGGGAGAGCTCCATGGCATCTTCCCGCAGATTTTCAGCACTGATGTCACCTGGATGCAGAGGGTTTGGCAGCAGTGAGGAAGTCAGCACAGCCGGTCCCACAAGCTGAACCAGGTGTGTGCTGCAGCACCCGTGGCCATGTCCCACCCTACTCAAATCAGCCCTTCCCAATGCTGCAGTCTGGTTGCAGTTCCCCGGGTTAAACCCCTCTGCCAGCCATGCTGGGGTGGTTTTACAGGAAGAAGCATCCCGGGTTCGAGGTCAGGCACAGCAGGAAGCCTCAAGCAATCAAACTGAGCTGTGCTTCTGGGTGGCTGAACAGCGCCAAGAAAAGCAATGCAGTCCAAGAAAAATGGATCGGGAAAGGTTCATTGCTTTGTGGGGGTGGAGGAAGATGAAGGTCACTGGCTTGGCCACGGAGGAAGGAGGGGATGGTGGGACTGGGTTAAGGGACTTTCAGACCCACTGGTCCTCTCGCATCACCCTTTCACCCTGGTTGAGCTTTCCTTCAAGAAGCACACTGGGAGATGAAAATGCATTAAGAAGCTTATGGAACTGCAATGGGAATTTCCCAGGGTCTCCTCCCACCATGTATTTTCTGCAGACATTGCTGCCAGCTGGGGCCCACGTGCTCACAGGGTCAAAGCCATGCCCCAGGGTCCTGGTCCAGCTCCGATGCACTCCCAGCTCACTCTCCAAACAGCCTCCTCCAGGGAGCAGGGGGCACTTGGAGGCCAAGAGGTGGAGGGCAGAATGTGGATAGGGTAAACTACGTACACCAAGTCCTTGAGCAAACCCTACCTGGGAGCTAACATCAGGGCTGGGTGGACCCTGCACCCACCAAGGAGGTCAGGCCACCAGTCCCAGGTGAAGATGCCTGGGTATGACTCTGATGCCCTGGGGATGGCAGGGAGTAGTTTACATCTCCCCTTCCTTAGTTGGGGGCAAAGCCCATCCCAGCACACAGCGAGGTGCTCGCCCACCTGCTCCTGCAGGTTTTGGGTGGGCCACATGCCCAGGAACATGCGTCCCAGCATGTTTGCATAGGGATCACTGCCAAGCTGGGAAGCTGGGCAGGCACTGGAGGCAGCTCCTGGCTGGGAAGCACCCTGCCAGTGTACGCACCTGGCTGAAGCAGGAAGAGGCGTTGGCAGTGCACGATGGCTGAAACAAGGAGCTCTTTCAGGTGCTGGAGGATTTTGCCTGGAAGTAGGCACCGCACACCACCTCCGTGCTCCTTCACATCCACAACACCAGTCCAGTTCTCCAAATCAGTCCCTGGAGAGCACACTTCCAGACAGCAGGTGTTCAGCTCTGAAGGATGCCTGGCTGGGCTGCCCCTGGTCTGGCACGCCAGCACACGCAGGGCATCGCCGTCGATACGCAGGGGTATCTCGAGAGTGACAGCATCCTCAGAGGCACAGAGGGTGAACTCGAAGGCTTCCAGGTTCCTGGCATAGTCCACGAGGAAGCGGGGTTCCCTGGCATGGACACTCTCCAACAGGGTGAGCAGGATGTCCTCGGCCCGCTGGAAGTGCTCCATCCGCTGCCTCTCGCGGGACACGATCACCCCAAGGTAGCTGTGCCAGAGGGAAGTGTTGGCTTCCATGGCAGCTCGGCTGCTGTCTTACGCTGCTCCGAGCAGAGGTGCGTGGGCAGGGAGGGCAGGGCTGGGGCGGGCAGAGGGAAACAGAGCCGGGTGTTGACAAGCACCAGTGCTGGGCGACTCCCAGGGAGAGGTACAGGGCAAACCCAGGGCGGGGGCTTGAGTCACACCGCGGCCCCTTTTCCGGCACTCCAGAAGGGTGACAGCGAGCGCTCGGCTCCTGGGTCATGCCAGGGTAACGCTGTGCTCTCCCACACCCCCTTGGCACTGGGACTGCGGGCCGGCAGCCCCCTCTCACAGCCAGCGCCAGGTGAAGGCGACCCGCTCGCTGTCTTCAGTTCTTCCTGCCCGGCTGCTCCCAACCTGTGGCACCCATGGGAGCCGGGCTGCGAAGGGCTGCAGGACCCAGAGCAGCTCTTCGGGCGCAGTGCAGCTCTGTCAACACCAGGCTCAGGCTCCATCAACTTTCCAGGTGCTGAAGCCCCCGGCGCCCCTCTCTCCGAGCGAGCCCCTCTCGCTGCACAGATGGGCCCCGCCCGGGGCGCGGCTCCTGCGGGGCTGCGGGGGAATCACGCACAAAGCGGGGCTCTGGGGGGATCACGCACAAAGCGGGGCTATGAGGGAATCACGCACAAAGCGGGGCTGTGAGGGAATCGCGCACAAAGCGGGGCTGAGGGGGGATCACGCACAAAGCGGGGCTGTGAGGGAATCATGC